GAAAGGGTGAAGCAACAGGGCCCCATTCCCAGTGTTCAAAGTAATTGTAAGAGTGATAGGACTCATACTGTCCTCCATGTGAAATTTATCTTTCATTCAATCAGCAGAAACAACTAATGCTCTGGAAGGGGTATTATATCCCATCTACTTCCCAATAAAGCCAGTGGTGTCCAATCAGACACCTATTGTTAGTAGAGAACCTGAAATTGATACAATCATCGCGTTGATCCACAGTTGCGCATGCCAGTGCTTGGCTTCGCTGTCATCCTCTCCCCACTCTTCCTTCCCCCCTCTTCCAAAATGGAACCTTCATAAAGAAGGCTACATCTTTTTTAACTAAATATATTGGACAAATGGCAGGGAAAAAAGGGGATTGTGTAGGTTTGTTGTTTCACATTACCTTTTCTGCAACACTTCCTCATTTGTGTTCCCGTGCACAGTCACACCCATTCATTTTTATACACTGTAGTGTTTATACAAAACAACTTACTATTCACACACAAACCACCCCACAAATATCAGTTACACACTCAGTGTATCAGTTGGTTTCTTCGCTGTACTTCTCTCCACCAACAGAGTCATTGGTCCCTAGACCTTGTGAAGGTCTGAAAGTTGGAATGTTCATAAACATTCTGTGGCATCAAGTCAGCTGATCTACTGGCTACAGAGAGCTAATTCCAACTGATTGTAAATTGAAACCTCGGAGCCAACTGCAATGGAAGTTTCACTCGCTGAAACTGCAACCTGCATTTACCCCAATCCTCTCCCCACTCTCAATGTAGTTGAACTGGGAAAACTGAGAGGTGGTGGTGGTGGTGGTGGTGGAGAAAGACAGTTTAAAAAAATGTTCAGATCTGTTTGTTCTGCACTTTAATCTTATACTTCACTTTCAAAGTTCATAGTAAGTGCCCTAAAAGATTATTGAAAGGCAGCTTTGACTTTGAAAATAGAAGTATACAAATTGGGGTCTGTAAGAAAGCCCAGGAGATAAATCATTTGGAGTCCCCTGTCATTGTGTTATAGCATGAGACTGCTGAGCTCAAACTGCTGTTATTTTGGGCTAGGTGAGCAGGAAACTGCTGATATACTCCTGAACCTGAGCAGTACAGTGAGGTAGGCAAAGAAAGTACCTTTATCTTTCCATTCCTGTGGTGTATGGGATGGTTAGAGCTGAGGACTTACTAAACTTTGTTAAGTTTCATGATGATAACATCATGTACACCACCATGGAGCGGCAGTTGTTTCCTACAAGTAGTTTATAAATCAGATAATATGCCTTTTCTGATTAATTGCACTAGCCGTTGGCCATGACAAATTTGAATCAAAAATAAACACATGTAAAGGGATGCTGCACCACAAATAATAGTCTCTATTTAGATCTCTGCATCTCCCTTACAGTTTGATGCTATTTGGTCCAGGGTCTTCTTTCTAATGTTTTTGGTTGCCAGAGCAAAAAGGGCTACTTTGTGAGTCACTGAAACATTTACATTGCTAAGAAGCCATAAGGCCTTCTGTGCCTGGGAGTGTGTAATTTAAGAAGGATATTGACAAGCTGCAACATGTACAGAGGAGAACAACCAAGATGATCAAGCCTTATGAAGAACAGTTGAAGGAACTGGGTATGTTTAGCCTGGAAAAAGGGGACTGAGAGGAGATATGATAGCCATCCTCAAATATTTAAAGGGCTGCCCCATGGATGGGGGAGAAAGCAAACTTATAGCCTCTTGCTCTGGAGGGCAGAACTCGAACCAATGGTATTACAAGAAAGGAGAATCTGACTAAACATCAAGAAGAACTTTCTGATGGTAAGAGCTGTTTGACAGTGGAATGGACTCCCTTGGAAGGTGGTGGACTCTCTTTCATGGGAGGTTTTTAAGTAGAGGTTGGATGGCCATCTGTCATGGATGCTTTAGCTGAGACTCCTGCATTGCAGGGGGTTGGACTAGATGGCCCTCAGGGTCCCTTCCTTATCTACAGTTCTCCAATTCTATGAATACCTGCTTGATCAGCTCAGCCTTACCGTTACTGTGATTCAGGTACGGGTAGTAATAGACATTTATTAAGTCCCTTGTTTTAGCAGATGCATATGTCTGCAATATTTTCCCCGGTGCCAACGCCAACTTCAACAAATTTCATGGGATCATAACCAATTGCTGCTCAGATACTGGTTGAGACTTTCTGTCATATGCATTAAACTGTTGGGCATCTATTAAGGTTTCATTTATGTGACTCACTCATACTTTTTAAATTCCATAATGGTTCTCACAGTAATTTCAATCATAATTGGAATTCTTAAAATAGTATCAATGAAAGCAACTGTTAATTTAAGACTACCATCAACAATTACACAAACAAAAGCAAGACAGCAGATTAAACAGTGTCAAATCTCCAAAACTGGGAGGTAAATCAGACAGAAAAGGCACACTGAAACAAGTAGTCTTTTACTTCCCTTTTCAAGGAAGGATGGAATGTTCCAACCTGTCCTGAAGGGGGTAACCACTTAGGGGCCACCACCAAACAGGCCCCACTCCTTGGTGATGGCCATCTGAATCCCCTAAATTAGCTTTTAAGATCATTTGATCTGTGATGGTTTCAATACTGCTGTATTTTTAAATTTGCTTTTATTTGTTGCTTTTAGTGTTAACCTATACTCATTTTTAAGTAAGCAGATTTAAGGATCTTTGTTATGGGATAATCAGAATGAATTGGTGGATGGATGAAAATGGCAGAATGTGAACCAGGGTTGCAGGATCACATCTCAGTGGAACCCAATAGCTGTCACTCTGTTGCCCTACTGTAAAAATGAGGGAGGTAATTTTTCAGATATTGCTCCTACTGTCTATAACCCCCTGCCCCAAATATAGTTTCCCTCCCCATTCTGTTGATGGAGAGCAGAGTGACACCCATTGGATTCTACCCAGTATCTTCGTGGGGTTTTAACAGAAGTAATTCTCTCTCTGTGTCTCTAGGACAGGGGTAGGCAACCTAAGGCCCGGGGGCCGGATGCAGCCCAATCGTCTTCTCAATCCGGCCCATGGACAGTCCGGGAATCAGCGTGTTCTTACATGAGTAGAATGTATCTTTTTATGTAAAATGCATCTCTGGGTTATTTGTGGTGCCTGGTTGGTGGTTTTACATGAGTAGAATGTGTGCTTTTATTTAAAATGCATCTCTGGGTTATTTGTGGGGCATAGGAATTTGTTCATTTGCCCCCCCCCAAAAAAAAATATAGTCCGGCCCACCACATGGTCTGAGAGACAGTGGACCAGCCCACAGCTGAAGAAAGTTGCTGACCCCTGCTCTAGGAGGTATAGGAATGAAACAGGTTGGTGGTAAAGGTGAAAAGCCCATATGCCCATTTGGTATGTAAGTTAAAGGATAAGCCTGTTGTAGATCTGCCAGCACCCATTTTAAGGCCAACAAACAGCATTTCAGAAGCATTTATGCCCAGAAACAACCGCTGGTATCCCCCCCCCCCATCTTTGTTTCTCAGCCACATCGGAAGACAACACTTCTGTGTTGTTGCACCAATGCGAATCTCTGGGTTCAGGGTGTTAACTAATTAACAGTAGAGGCATGTGCAGTTTGTTAACATTTCCATTAAATCACACTCAATGCATTTCATTTTTGCCCTGTTCTTCTTTGTGGAATTGTGCACCATTAATATAAGGTGGGGGATAGGAAGCCTTAACATAAAGATGGACTGGGCCATCACAAAAGAGAATTCTTTATGGAGCTTGTTTTCCATATGAAAGTAGCAACATAAATGGCTTGCAATGCCTTTTTTATGAATTGTGTCCTAAGTGGTTATGATTGTCCCTAGTATTCAGTGTTCAGTCATTAAGTAGCTTTGAAACAACAGGAGGAGAGAAAGGAAACATTTTGTACCTACGGCACTCACTTGGGCAACACGTTTTTAGCAAACTCTCTTCCCCTTTTGGATCTAAATTATGCAGGGACACAATGATGTGTGAATTGATGAAAAAGGCAAATCATATATTTCTGAGCCATTAATAGTCAATTCTGTCCCCTCTGGTTACAGGTGGGGAGGGGGAGAATTGCATTGATTTTCGTATCTGAATCAAATTCTCTTCCCCACTTTCTGCCAATCTGACTGCTGCTTTGACAGAGTCAGGCTGTGTGGGGAAAGAGTTGATTCTCTTGTCAGATCTCAAGATAAATAAGTCATGCTTCTTCTTGCTGTACAAGAATAACTCCTTTGGAGAAATCTGGTTTTGCACCCTGCCAACATATTCAGGTAAAATGGTCACTGTGCATAAAAGCTTCTTTGTAGTATATATTACAATAACATCCCATTGAGAGGAAAAGAGGATGATGCCATCATTATCTTGGTCTTCTTAACTTATTTTTTCCTTACCCCCTAAAAATATATATATATATCTTTGTGCCTGAACCAAATTAGGCAGAAAAATATGGGACTTTATGAAAAGTTGACTTAGCTTCACATTGGTACGCAGCAAAATAAAAACAACCAACTTTCTTTAAAAAAGGAGAGCCAAGCCCTCATATGCCTCCCTCTGTGGGGTCTGTTAGGATTGGTAGGCTAGAGGGCAGGGAGTTGAACAGTAGGTGGCACTATGACCAACAACAGAGCCCACTCATTCTAGTTTTGATCCCATCCACATCTCTGCTGAGTTCTAATAGGCCAACACTGAGATTAAAGAGGAGTTGGCCGATAGGCAGTGCTTTCCACTAGATTGATTGTAAGATGTCATGTCTGTAGGGACTGGTTGAGCGCAGTCTGAGGATGGTGGGGCAGTCTAATGGACCAACCTACACTGGCCCCCCCCCCTCTAGCCAGGGTTCATCCTGTTGAGATACTGCCAGGGAGATAAAGTCCATCAAGGCCCCCAAGCCGTCTGCCGGACGATCCATCTACCTCCCGTAGGCACTCAGCGACATGAGTTTCTAGAAAATATCTTGTACACATTCCAGACTCATGCACGCTCTATCAGCAATTAGCACAGCCAAAAGTTGCACCCAGGAGAGCATTATTTACAAGTTTATTCAGCGTTGATCAGAACACAGAAAAACATGACTGACTGCTTTAGTGTCTGCGACACCAGAGAGAAAACGAAAGCAACAGAAAACATAAACATCCTGTGAACAGGAAATACGCAGACTCTGACTCACAAAGCCTGCTCCCTTTTAAGGTGGAACGGAAATATCCTAACATCCTCCCCTTTCCGTGTAACCTGTAGTACCTGTGGTTCAACCCAATTGCAACCTTTGTACGTAAACCTTAAGTTGTTCTCTGTTAACAACCTTAGACAACAGATCAGCAGGAATTTCATTTCCTGGCATGTAGGACACCTGAATGAGTCCTTTCTGAATACACTCTCTTGCACGATGTAGCTTAATCTGCAAGTACTTGGTCCTTTGCTTGCAACTCTCCGAGTTCAGCAAAGCCAAACACGATCTATTGTCTTGATACACTTGTACAGGACATTTCACAGAAACTCTGATGTCCTTAAACAGTTGCATCAACCATTCACAATCCATGAGTGAAAATGACAGAGCATTGAGTTCTGCTTCACAGGAACTTAGGCTCACTGTCGTCTGCTTTTGCACAGCCAGTCAAACAGACAGTGGTTGTACATGTAGCATACTCCAGAAGTGCTTGTACCATCCGTGGTGTCACTTCCAAAACTTGCATCTGCAAAGATTTCAAGACCTCCAGTCTTCTGACTGGTGAACCTCAGCCTGTAGTGCATAGTCCCTTTCAAATAGCGGGCTATGCGCTTCAGAGCTTTCCAATCCTGAACAGTAGGATTGTTAGCATGTCTGCTAAGCAGGTTAGTGCTCACAGCTATGTCAGGTCTTGAGCATCTAGCAATAAAATTCAACTTGCCTAGAATGCATCTGTACAGCGTTGTGTCAGAAAACGCTTCAGCAGTACTGTCTACCTGGTAACCTGTCACCATCGGTGTGTCTGCTGGGTTTGCATCAACCAAATTCAACCTGGTTAATACATCAGCAATTTTCTGTGTTTGGTGTACCAGAAAATTACCTGCTTGGTCCCTCTCCACCTGCAGAGAAAGATAGTTGGATACCTCACCAAGATCCTTCATGTCAAAGTGCTCCTTCAGCTGAGCTAGGGTGCTTTGGTACAAAGCCTGATTCTTCCAAAACATCAGAAGATCATCAACAAAACATAAACAATACAGTTTGTTTTGCCCTCCTCCTTGACAAACACACATGGATCAGCTTTGCCCTGGTGAAAACCTAGAGAAAGCAATGTCTCAGTGAGCTTTGTGTTCCAACACCTGGCACTCTGCTTGAGACCATACAAGGATTTCCGCAGTTTACAGACCATTCCCTTCTGTATCTGCATCCCATCAGGTGGAAGCATAAACAGCTCCTCTTCCAAAATCCCGTACAAAAAAGCTGTATTAATGTCATGATGGGAAACATGCAGTTTCTCCTCTGCAGCTATCTTGAGCATCAGCCGAATGCTCTCATATTTGACGGTGGGTGAGTAGGTCTCGTGGTAATCCTGTCCTGGTACCTGTGAAAAACCTCTGGCAACCAATCTGGCTTTGTGTCTGACAACCTTGCCATTCTGGTCTGTCTTGGCCTTGAAGACCCATTTGCTGCCAACCAGTCTCATTCCTGGGACTACCGGTACCAGTTCCCAAGTTTGGTTCCTATTCAAGGAATCAACTTCAGCCTTCATGGCATTAAGCCAAGGCTCAGCATCTTTAGAGGTTAACTCCTGAACCTCTTTGAAGCTTGAAGGTTCCCATACCTTCTCTGAGCTACTAAGAACAGCAGTTGCTGTCTTAGCAAACTCATCAGCAAATCTCTTTGGAGGTCTGCCCTTCGTGGCTCTCTCAGATCTGCGTACTAGACGCAAGTCTTCTGGACTCATCTCCTCCTTCTTAGGAGAAAAGTGACCAATGGTGAACAGTGGTTCTTCCAGTTCATTGTCAGACGCATCAGATGGTCTGACTGAGGCCTTTGCGCTCTTGTAGTCTGCTGTGTCATCACTGTCACTGACATCAGCAGCAGCGCCGCCCACTGAACTGGAATCCGAACTCTGATCATCATCGTCATCATCATCCTCAGCAGCTTCCTCAGCTTTAGCTGCTTCTTTGACATCACCTTCATCCTCCTCTGGGTAACTCTGGAAAATTCCCACATTTTCCCCCCACTTAGGATTGTACTCAACACTCTTTGTGAACTTAATGGACTTAGAGTTGGTCATCCACACCCTGTATGCACCTTTTTTGTACCCCATGAACAAACCATGTGCCCCACGCTTCCCAAGCTTGTTGCTCTGTGGGGTGTGTACCCACATGTCAGAACCAAAGATTCTCATGTGCTTGATGTTGGGTTTCTTACCAAACATCTTCTCATAGGGAGTACAACCAATAGGTGATGACAACCTGCGATTAAAAGTGTAAACAAACGAGTTCAAAGACTCCCCAAAACTTCTCAGGGAGATTGGCATCATGCAACAATGTTTTCAGTCCTTGCAGCAACGTTTGCTTTGCTTGCTCACAAATCTCCCATGGAGATCCAGGACTTGAGAGGCTATGCTGGATTCCCTTCTCAGTCAGGAAAGCTTCAAACTGCTGAGAAGTGAACTCCCGCCTCGATCAGTAAACAGACAGCCAATGCGTTTACCATGAACATTGTCCAACCAAGCACAGAATGCCTTGAACTTAGGAAACGCTTGCGATTTCTGCTCGAGCATAAACACATGAATGTACCTGGAAAAAGAGTCAATTAGAACCATGAAGTACCTTGCTCCACCCAAAGAGGGCGCAAGTGGACCAACCAGGTCTGCGTGCACTAGCTGGTAGGGTTTGGAAGCCTGCCTGCTAGACTCCTTGCCTTTTGGAGCAACCTTCACCTTGTTCTCTGCACAAGATACACATTTCATGTGAAACTTACAGGGTTTGATGTTCAAACCCTCAACCATCTCTGGCATCTTGGCCAGCGCCTGCCAAGACATGTGACAAAATCTTCTGTGTGCATCATGAATGCATCCTGTATGAAGAACTTTGTTAGTTTGTGCAACACAACAAGAATCAACATTAGACACAACAGCACCATTGTCGTCATAAGTTATACAGAACAAGCCATCCATAAACTTTGCATGCAAAATGTCCTCTTTGCCTTTTCTGATGACACAGACACTCCTCTTGAAGGAAATCTCAAAACCACGCCCAGTCAACTGCGGGACACTGAGCAAATTGTCTGCAGCACCTGGAACATACAGCACATCTTCGATGGTAGTGTGCAGACTTGCCAGTTTCACAGTCCCTTCTCCTGCAATTCGCAACGTCTTTCCGTCAGCCAGGTGGATCTCACCTTCCTGAGGCGTGAAGGAGATAAATAGGTGGCGGTCCTTTGAGACATGGCGGGTACAGCCTGAATCAACAACAAACCTGGCCTTGGCTTTTGGAGCAGCCTTTGCAGCAAGCAAAACCTTGTTTTCCACCGGCGTGGGCTTTTGCAGCTTGCCCCCCTGCTCCTGGCCATCAGACTTGCCTTTAGCCTTTGGTGAGGCTGTGCCAGCAAACATAACCTTGTTTTCCACTGGCGTGGGCTCTTCACCCTCCCTCTGCTTCTGGCCATCTGCAGGCGTCTGCCTCTGTTTACCTTTGCCTTTCCGGCCTCTGCAAAGGCGATGACCTTGGCTCCCACGAGAAACAGAGCTCTCAGCTGCCGACTCCTTGGCTCCCCCTGGAGGCTGGAATGCTGTCCCACATTGCTCCCCCTGGAGCTTGCAACCGGTGCCCTCGGCATCCCTGCATTCACTCGCATTCTGGGAAACAGCCAGGACCTCCGATGCAGTCAAACTCTGGGCTGGGATGACTGGCAGATGGGCTATCTTCAAAGCATGCCACATGTTACGTGCAGTCAGATTGCCAGCTAGCGTTTTATTTCCTCCAGAGAGACGGACAAGACGATTACGTCTATCGCCCTCAAATTTTCGGACTCCCATCTTTCTGTCAGAGGAACTGTATGCCACACTCCAAACTGACGCAGCAAGCTCTCACACCACACAGCCCAGGTCCCATAATTGTGCCGATTTAACTTTGGGCACGCAGCAGCCTCAGAAGCGTGGAAAAACTCCATTCCAGGTTTCTACTTGAGCCATGAATCTTATTCACTTCAAAGACCCCTTATCTTAGCAGCCCATAACTCACGAATGCTCTTGGCGCGGCTCCCAGATCCAATTAGGCCTGACCGGACATCAAAGGGACTTTGCCGCGGCAACGAAAGCCTCACTTTCGCTTTTCCTCCACATACCTTTCAGCAGTCTGTCGCAGTCTTACTCTCCTGTAAGTGCTGTGAATCTGGGCCCGAAACCTGTTGTTGAGATACTGCCAGGGAGATAAAGTCCATCAAGGCCCCCAAGCCGTCTGCCGGACGATCCATCTACCTCCCGTAGGCACTCAGCGACATGAGTTTCTAGAAAATATCTTGTACACATTCCAGACTCATGCACGCTCTATCAGCAATTAGCACAGCCAAAAGTTGCACCCAGGAGAGCATTATTTACAAGTTTATTCAGCGTTGATCAGAACACAGAAAAACATGACTGACTGCTTTAGTGTCTGCGACACCAGAGAGAAAACGAAAGCAACAGAAAAACATAAACATCCTGTGAACAGGAAATACGCAGACTCTGACTCACAAAGCCTGCTCCCTTTTAAGGTGGAACGGAAATATCCTAACACATCCATGTGTGTTTCCCTAGCTACATGAGGAAGCATGCACACAAATAGGTGGCATGCATTTCTTAAGAAATTTTGTAGGGATTTTACACAGGACAAGCGGGCAAGAATCTATGAGCGCAGTGAGTATGACCATATTTATTAGAGGAAGGGAATTTAGCACCAACAGGATTAATTTTAACTGGAATGCAATGCTAAATTAAGGAAGTATGACATCTCAGTTTGCATTTCTTAGTACAGAAAGTATTGATATGTAGAGATCTTTCCTATTCTTCTTAATTCAAGAGGGTTCTGGAAGCTTCCCTGTGTGAAAGAAACTGCATGATGTTTGGGTTATTCCTTCAGAGAAGCCGAGTACAGCTGGTTTAAACTGGTTCTGTTATCTCTTTCTGTCAAGGTCATGTGGACTATAATAGTGAGGCCAGAAGGACCCTGCATTTCTCGCTCTTTCTGTCTCTTCTTCTTTCTGGTGTGGTGTTCTATATATAGTGTTAAGGTTTAGTCTTATTATAAGTTATTGTAAGTTTAAGTTAAGTCTGCTGCAACTGGATTTCTTATGGACAGTACCAATCCTGGATATATTGGGTTTGTGACCATTATGCTCATTTGCCTTCAGTAGCAGTAAAGCTCTTCTGGATGAAATGCCTCTGGTCTATTTTTCGGGAATCCTGCAACATGTTCAAGTTTTTATTCGGCTAACTATGCATTGGACTCTACTCTGAATCAATATTGAGTAGAATTTCAATGACATGACTTGCTTCAGAGAAATGTTGCTGGCCTCCCAGAAATATGCCTACATCTTCTGAGCCCCTTGTGGACTTCCAATTGCCAGGAATTTGCCTGTGGGCCCAGTTTCATACAGTACCTCTGTGGGGTAGAGGAACAGGACACTCCCATCTGAAATGCACTTCCAAAACAGTGTGCACATGGGGACATCAGGAGTATATCTGAAGCATAATGTCCTTGAGTCTTACAACATGAAGGTGGGGAGTGCATCTCTATTCCTCTCCTAGGGAAGAGAGTCAACCATGCCATAATATATGGATCAGAACTGAGCTAATATGCGGTAGTGACATCTCATGATTTGCCAATTAATCATCCTTGCCAGAAAGCAGTAAGCATTGTTTGCTTGGGTGGGAGCAATGCATGTATTCACCCGCAGAAATAATTAATCCAGTTTTTCATTAGATGTAAACGTCTTGATTGGTAACATCATTGGCTCATGAATAATGAATGGATAAGGCACTTTGTAATAATTAACTGGTAACATTAACAAAAATGTTACAACAATGAAAGTGGACTGTGTATACATTGATGGTACACACACACAGCTCCCATAGAGGGTGTTGATTATCAACTTGGATTGTACTTTGTTCTCCTAACGGCATGATAAATGAATCTCTTCGAAATCACACTGTAATTGTTTCTTTCCCTGCAGATAATTTCAGTTGATATACACATTATTAAAATGTCAATTAACCTTGATTTCCCCCTCCCCATCTTCTGCGATAAGTTAAACTAAGCTAACTTTCATATAGATGTAGAACTGCAAACCCTTTAATGAGGCAAATTGCTAAGGGAGCCCTAGTTTAATTAGTTCAGTCATTTTCTGTCACTTCTAATTATATAACTAAAGTCTCTACCCTTGGGAAAGATCATATTTAGTGTGAGCTGCTCTTTTATGCTAATGAGATTAATATTCAATGACCTCATTTGTGTACACTTGTTACTCATCTTATAGTTTTTCGTAAGCTGATAATTTTGTTCCCCCCCACATAATTTGCAACTATCCGCATGTTTCTGTCACCATAACATGCAAAGCCCAAATTTTGCACTGCACATATCTGGCACATACAATGTGATCCAAAGGAGGCAAAGATTTTCATGATGCTGTTCTTCATAGGTGACACCATAGAAACTTTGGGCAAAATGTAATGACAGATTGGCCACAGGAACCTCTAAAAAAACATTTTTTGGGGGAGGGGGGAACTGCCTCAGCCCCTAGGAGCTGATGTGTATGTTGGAGGGGCAGTGGGGGGCAAACAATGTATTAGTTTGAACCATGCAACTGCATGTTTAACTATCACTAGCCCAGAGCAGGGCCGCCATCTATTAAGCTGAGTGAGATCGCTTCTTCCATTGCTTGCCCCTGGTGCTCATAGGTCAGAAACTTGGAATGTTCATTTTAAAACAGAATCAGTTCCAGTTCACCTGCTCCAAAAAGGAACTAGTTTCAGTTCAATTTACAGTTCAATTCACAATTAATTAATTTATTCATTCATGTGGTCCTTGGCATTTCCCCCTCCCCCCAGACTTCATAATGTTACAAACTGATCTGCTAACATTATACTTAAGAAGACTAAGTGCAATTGTTTTGTTTATTTCCCCCGAAAGTTATCATCTTTAAACTCAACAGCAGCTTTGCTTTTCCGATAGGTAAAAAAGGTAAATGCAATGGCCACAGTGAAGCACAAAGTTAAGTGCAATGAAAACCGTGTGTGTGTGTGTGTGTGCGCGCGCGCAAAAGGAACTTAACTGACCATTGGTTTACCTGGAAATTACAGGAACTTCCTTCAGGAATAAAATTAATTTGGTGAATTCATTAATTTGAATTAGTTCATTCCAAGCAGGGATTAGAAGTCAGGCAATATCATATTGTGTGTACTATATGGAGAAGCTCCAGGTTCCCTTATGTAGCTCAGATCTTCCTCTCTACAATCAGGCTGCCCTTCTCAACTGCCCATATTACAGACCTTTAGGATGTGGAAACAGAAATGCCTCCCCATTCCTGAAAGAAAAATCAGACCTTGCCTTGAACATTCAAAACAACTGTTTAACTTCAATGGAAATTCCAGGACTGGAAGAAGCTGCTTTTGAACATGTGTGTAATATCCTTCCTTGGATGATTTAAAGGGAGTGGGGATGTTGGAAGGGGATCTGGTGTATTTTGTTATAGGAATAACATGTCTTTATTAAGGGCAGGGATAGAACTACATGTTTAGCTTGGTTCCTTGAAAGGCCCAGCAGTGGGTGGGGATGGGAGTCACAAAATGGCAACCTTCCTCAACCTGACATCTGCCAGATACTTTGTAATAAAACTCCCATCAGCCCCAGCTAGCATGGCCAATGGTCAGAGCTGATGACAGTTGTAGTATAAAAGATATGGAAGGCACCAGGTCAGGGAAAGGTACAGGAGTGGACCTTCGTGATATGGCACTCTGTGTGAGGCCAAAAATTGACACCCTCTCCAGCCCTTGCAGGATGGCTCTGGCATAGTCCTAGAGCCCTCCCTTCTCCCCAAAGTTTGGTAAGTCCTTGCCCAGCTTTGGGAAGAAGGACCCTAGGACCCTGTCAGAGCCCCCATGTCTCCTTTCCAAAGCTGGGCAAGTATTTACCGAGCTTTGAAAAGGCATCCTCCTAGGTTGCACATCCAGTGAAGGACCACCAGTGGCTTTTCTCTAAAAAGAGGATGCTCTTTGGGGAAGTAGCTGCCACACTGACCCCACTCTTTCTTTTGGTTGCCTGTTAGGGCTGCACTGCAATGGTCCCTGAATATCTAGGCCCCATTTGCAGGTTGAAAATTTAAGGACACTTTCTGATTTTTGGAGTGGCAACCATTAGCAGTGATGCTGTGGGTGTCATCTACCACAGATGCTCTTGGTGACTTAGCTGCCATTTTTGTAACTGCTAAATAACCCAAAAACAGCATTTGTGCATGGGGGGGTTAATAGTTGCAAACAACAACAACAGCATGGCAACCACAGATGGGGAAGAAAGGCGAGTCTAAATTCCCTGAAAATTAGTGGCATGCAATTAAAAGTAAACATGTTTTCCCCATCTTCATTTTAAAAAAAGGTTCCCATCATTTCCTCCATAACTAAAGCCAATTGTTTGAGGCATGGTGTTATCTGAAACTTCTAGGCATTAAAAAAGCTGGAAGGGGGGCAAAGATAGCCAGTTTCATTTCTGCTGGTCCCATTTAGAAATGACTTCATTGTCTCCATTTCCTCCATGCTGAAACGTGTGTGTTAATAAGAATGGGGGTGGGGAGGTGAAAAGCAATGGTAAGGAAAATGCAATTAATTTCAAAATAACTTTATTCATCAGTGGGACTTTTCTCATCAATTAACACTTCCTTTCCTTCATGGAAGAAAAAGAAGTTTGCTTAGGAATTTATAAAGCTTATACACATCTGCTGAATGAATTACAGCATGACCAAAGCAACCACAAATTGGCACAGTGACCATTATCTGTCAGTTCCTCCTCTACCGTCGGCCACATAAACCTGGCTTAGATGGAACGGGAGGGCTAAGATTCTTATCTTTTATTTTTCCTAAAAGGTACCTGCACTTCCCATGAAGCTATCGCATTGAAGTGACTGGGTGGAAAAGCTCTAAAAGCGAAGGAATCTGTAACTTACAAAGACCCAAGCTAGTAACAGATGGTAGAGTGGAGTTTCTCCTCCCCCCCCCTAAACACCAAAAACAAAACAAAAACAAATGGTTTGAGGGAATTATCTATTGTTTCTTAGTTCAGAGGTTCTCAAGATAAGATGCTATGGTGGTGAGAGTATCTCTACAAGGGGCGGGGGGGGCCACACCGAGACTGTGATCCAGCTGTAGTGCCGTGCAGCAAAATATAATTGGCAGCTGTGAATGTGCACCCCAATATATATCGCCATATATAAATAACCCAACATAAGGAAAGTTCCTGCTGAATCAGACAAATGCCTATCTAGTCCAGCATCACATTCCCACAGTGACCAACCAGATGCCTATGAGAATCCCACAAGCTGGTGATGGACACAATGGCACCGTTCCCACTTGTGCTTCCTAGGAATTGGAATGTAGAGACATACCACATCTGATACTGTGGGCCCTAAACGACTGT